GTTAGATGCACACACAATGTCAGAAGCCATATATTTTTTTTGTTACTTTGTACTAAGACAGAATTAGCAGTAATGTTCATATACAGTATAAAATTAATATCCCAAAAGACATTTCAACACTTCTGGTATATCTGTGATTTAATTGAAAGATATAATGATTGAAAGATAATAGTCTAAAATTAGTTCACCTTGCCACAAAACAGATGGAAATTTAAAATTCAGTTTACTGCACTTTTTATTATCTCTTTCTTAGCTTTGCAGCATTTTAAAATCCAAGCAAACAATGAGACAGCTATGTATTTGCTTTTAACAGATACCTTGAACAAGCGAAACAGGATCTGGAAGACAGGGATGGGCAACAGAATGAAGTCCTGCTCCAAAGGGAGACGGTCGGTGACCTGTTACACCTGTTAGACACACACAGGATTATGGCCTAGATGGGAGGTCAAATCCTGCGTTAAGTTCTGGGCCCCACACTACAAAAAGGACATTGAAGTGCTGGAGTGTGACCAGGAAAAAGCAACAAATCTGGTGAAGGGTTAGGAGCATGAGTCTTATGAGGAGAAAATGAGGAAGTTGGAGTTGTTTAGCTTGGATATTAAGAAAGATTTCTTCACATGAAAGGTTGTTAAGCATTGGAAAAGGGTGCCCAGGGAAGTAGTGGGGTCACCATCCCTGGCTGTATTTAAAATATATGTTATTATGGCTCTTAAGGATATGGTTTAGGAGGTTGGCCTCAAAGATCTTACAGGGTTTTTTCCCAACCTAAACAATTCTATGAGTCTGAATTCAAATAAGTCTTTAATATCCCAGAAAGAACTGATACAACACAAAGTACTCTTCCCTGGACAATTTTTGGACAGCAGCACAATATTTAACATGTTACTAAAATGTGAAATTAGTGCTACTGAAATGTGTATTAGGTTTTAAGTAAAACATAACCGAGTCATTACAGCATCTGATTTTTAGTTTTCTTTCCTATTGCATAAATCACAGATACTATGCAAGCTCTTAACTCAGAAACTGTTGTAGCATACGTGACCTTCGTAACAAAGTTGGGAAATTTTATTTCTTAGGTTTTTATGGCAGGCTAATAAACTGCAGTAATGCAAAGTCTACATACTGCAGAAGTGTGAAAAGGGATTTATCAAAGTATTTTATTAACTTGCATCTGTTCAACGGTGCCATAGTTAATGTGATCTTTTAAGAATATATTGTTACCATGTTAATTAATGAAATTTCAGTTTTATGGGACTTGAACACATTCAAAATAACTAATGGAAATTGCCCAGGTTTCCTAATATTGCACTCTAAAAGACCTAATTGGCCCTTTTGTTCAGGATGAATGGTAAACTACTCATCTGTCCAGCACTAAAAGAACATCAGTTTATGGTGTTTAAATTAGAGACTACTTCCCCCCATTTCTTCCGCCCCATAAAATCCTAGTATTCATCAGATGCCCCATAAATCCTAGTATTCATCAGAGCAGTATTGCCAATAATGGATTGATTTAGTCATGTTTGTGTCTCATGGAGAAGACCTCCAATGATGCAATCCTGTAATCCATCACAACCCTCAGGACATTGCAGCCTCCCAGCCCATGTGGAGGCTGCTTGTTTCCACTTTGTGCTTCTCCTTGCTAATATATCCATGAAGTTTTCTGTCAACAAAATTCTTGGGTTCCTTGAGGGATGAAAACTCATCTTCTCAATAGGCCAACAGCTTTCCTTTATGAATTTAGCATAAGAGACACTGAATGCAATCAACAATGCAATGCTTTTAGTATGTAGCTCTACACTGTTTATTTAATAAGAATTATCAAAGCAAACCAAACTTTGTAGATTACTAAATAAAAATGTAGGTTTAAGTGTCAGGAATCCAGTCTTATTAACTAAAGAGTAATCTAGAGCAGCTGAGAAGATATTCTGTAAGTCTTAATACTCTATTTTGTATAAATATTGTATTCTGAATACACAATATTAATTTTCCAGTCTTTCTGCTGAAAGTGACAAAGTAGATTTGTCAGATATTCAGATATCTTAAGAAATTTAATTTTTTTATGTTGAATTATAAATAGCCATTGAAATCTAAATTATGTGGAAACATGATTTTTTTTTTGTTGTCCTACAAAAAAGAAATTTCATATTGATTTAAGTGAAGAAAGTTATGTCAATCTTCCTATGCATATGTACACACTTTTTATCTCTACAAAAATAAAAGCACAATATATGCAAAAGTTAAAAAAACCACTGTTGTTCATGTGATGTTTATTAAAACTGCTCAAACTTATTTTTCTTATGAAATATTACCAAATATGCAATCAATTTTCTTCAGTTCTTCTGTTTGACTTTTTCCTAATAAATTTGTTTTACTCTAAATATTGCATATATATAATCTAATGTGTTAATTGAAAGATAATGACTGAAATAGGAAAGCTTTAGTCTTTATTCTAGAAGCTCTTTCACAGTCAGAGACTTGATAAAGTTTACCCGGTAAAAATTCAGAAGCCAACAAAGATCAATTTGTCTGTATAAATAAGATAGCCCCAAACATTCATAAGTTATACATACAAATTATATTTTAACAAAGTTATCTACTTACAGGGATGGAAGAGTTTATACAAAGGGGCTGACATTTCGGGCAAGATACTTGTTATACTGAGATGTGTTTGCAGTTTCACTGTGGAGGCCAAGGCTGCCACAGAGAACTCAGGTGCTTCAGAACTCTGGTCTCATACTTTTCTTCCATGCAGGTGACATTCTCCTTCTTTGGGTAAGACAATGTGAAAGTCCACTTTGCTAGCACAGTAGCCTGCTAATGTGGAACAGACTTCAGAACTGGGGCCATTACTATCAGGTTTCCCTACTGAAATGTTTTTTGGTTGCTTACCCAGTTATCTGAGACACATTTATAATACTAATAATAGTATACTCCATTGAGTGTGTACGTATACCTAGTGTACAATAATTGACAGTACAAAATCTGTCCTCCTACCACTGGATTAAACTGTTTCCTACCAGGAGTCTCGCTGGGGAAGAGGCATATAGCAGACATGGAGAGATCTAACATTTAAGCATGAAGTCTATTGTTTTGGAAGGGGAATGGGCATTGTAAATCAAATAGACTCTGTGTATGCATCTGCTTTAGATGTTGATTAAAAGACAAAAAAACCCTCCCCACGCTTCTTGTTGATCATATGACAAAAGGAGAAGAGTAGGGAAAAGCAATCAGATTGTCATAAAGCAAAGAGGGACTCAAACTTTTACTTTTAAAGTGATGCCCAAGGAGGACAAACCAGCCCATCTGTAGCTTTGTCATCTGACAGAAACAGGGGCAACTTGCTTCTGTGCTACTCTGGGGAAATGGCAAAGAAAACAGATGCCTTCAGTGAAAAACACAACAAAAACATCTTAAGAAGGAAAAAGCAGCCTGGAACCTCGTGTCTCTGGCAAATATTAGAATCTCAACAATGATTATTTTAGTCCTTGAAAGACTCAGCATTTTACTGAATGAAAGAGTATTACAGGAGTATTTGTGTTGACATATTGATTTCTACAGGCCTTCTGCTGTTTTACAGCTTTTTTAAGGGAGGTAAGTATACCTGTTTTACAGATTTTGCTAGAATGTTCTTCTAATACAAGAGGTCAGAAATGTTAACATACAGTCTAGTTCAATGATATGTCTCAAAAATAGAAAGTGTTTAGCTGAGATATTGGTTCATCCTAAAAATATTTCCTTATTGTAAAAATTCTTCATGGTGTCTTTAACTGTTTCAGATTATACAGAGAAGGGAAAAAAATGCAGATCCTTTTTTTTTAAAACTCATTTCATTACTTAGTAGCCTCAGTATAACCTATCTTGGAGTAATAGAAGCATACAAAGTTGAAAAATCTAGTGCAGATAAAAGTCCATTCTATTGGCAAATAATGAAATTCATTTTACAGCTGGCACCAAGCCTGATGTTCGCCTTCTCCCCCTCTTCCTTCTCACTCCCTCCCCATTCCCAGCTTATATTTTTCCCAAATTTGTCTGTCATTTCTTTCTCTTAAGATTCTAGGGAGATTTCTGGGCTTAGACTTTAGTATTAGTAATCTTATTAATTTTTTAAACTTTCACAAGCCTTAAGTGAGAAAACAACATATGGCTGTGCAACCGAGCACCTCTGGAGATTTTATACTCCTCAAACAGCACATAAAATCTTATGTTGTGTTCATTCTTATTCATTGCTTTTCTGTCCATATTTTAACCCTGCAAGTATCAAGATATCTGTCTAATTCATTATGTTTTATTTGGTACCATCTGCACCTTACGGGTTGTATTCATGGAAAATTAAAATCTCCTTTCACAAGGGCAGTGCCTAGGTGTTGTCTCAGTAACAGATCTATTCCTGCAATGAACAAAAAGATATGTGACTACTTGTTGGACCAAGGCAGTCACAATTCTATCAGGCCAAAAAGCTGCAGCTGATACATAACATGAAGTATCCAGTCAGGATTATGGCTCCTGATACCTAGGACAAAAATCCTGCAATTATAGTCAGACATTTTCTAAAGCCTAATGACCCACACTGGCAATTTTTAAACAAGGGAGGACCCTTGTTTATATTAGGTGATTAAAGAATGACACTAGTGAATGCAGAATCCCATTTAAAAATTATATTGGGAACATTAGGGATGCATAGTTAAGCATGCATATCATTAAAAGCTAGTGCTTTATCAATTTTTAATAATAAATGGTAACCATATATATGTATACTGCATACAAAGGACATTAAAAGAACATTAAGGTAGAGATATCAAACATTTAGAAGTTAGGGAATGACGGACTAAATTAGCCCTGTTGTGCATAGGCATTGTGACAGCTTTTTTCAACAGCACAGAAGAAGTCTGTAGCAGACCCAGTAAGGATTAAAAAAAGTCTAGTTTTGCTTGGTTTCAACTTAAAGCCTGAATTATAAATGGTTGTCTTTTCTTTTACTTTTTTTTTTTTTCCCTCTACAGTCTTCTTATTCATATCATCTTCTTCACAATATCTGTGCTCCTGTAAAAAAAAAAAAAAAAAAGTGGACGTGATCACATACAGATGAAGATATTCTTTCCTGGAAAGAAGCAGCAACTGTAGCAACTGGTAAAAGGATCAGATAGGAAAGATAATAGAGAAGAATAATACAGAATAAGGCATAGCCTTACCCCTGTGTCTGCTTGTGAGTTCATAAGAATCCTGTCCTTACCCTAAATCTTATTGTGACTGTGGAAACCTTTGTGACTGAGCGCTGTTTGTGAAGTCCTAAAGAAATACAAAAAAACATTTCCAGAAAGCACATTGACAGAATATATCCTTTCTTGGGAGATGCCATTAGTCCTTATTAACTAAAATTAAGGAAAACATCTTGAAATGAAGTCTGTTAATGCAAGATGAGGTTTTTTCTTTAAAACCTTGATATTGTTAGTCTGTTGTGAATTTTAAATTAAATTTTTAAATTGTGTTTATTAAAATGCAAATGAAAATTATTATACTAGGAGGGAGACAAATAACCATTCATTGCACCAGAAACAATATTATTCTGAGTTATAATAGCAAACATGATTATTTATATCAATCCTGCATACCAGTTTTTGTCTGTTTTCTGTTCAGTTGCAAGCTAAGAGCAAAACACAAAAGGTGTTCACAGATATCACACACTCTGTTATTCTGCTGTAGTCTTTGTAAGGATTATTGTTGCTGAGAAAAACTGAGTTATTTTTATAGAACTATTGTCATGCTTGATTAGATAACCAAGATCATGTGTTCCTTGATTGCACCAAGTATTTTGCCCTCATTTTAGAGGAGAATCAGCAAGAAGCTACAAGTCTGTGCTGTGTATGGACTTTTTAAGGAGTTAGCAATTAAAACAATCGCAAAATACTTTTTTTCTTTGCCTTTATGCTAAGAACATTGGCAACCATGTTGTCAATTAATGCCACTGCCAACATGTAGTCATAGAGTCCAGTATTGATCAAACACCCTGGAACGAGCATCAAAAGATATAAGTCCAAATTCATGTACTGTAACCAGTTTCAAGTAAAATAGAACTATTTTAAGGTATCACAAAAGTATTGAACTATATTAAATGGTATTAAAGGGTATTAATGTAATCATCCTTCTGGGATAGTTAATATCAAATCTAAATTCCTTATTTTATTTTCTGAATTGTGCAGAGGACTTTACATAAGCTTCAAAACATGGCCTAAATAAAAATTAAATGAAACTATCAAAATGGACATTTTTTATTGTTTTATTTATTTTTGAGCATATATTATTATAAATATCATTCATTTATGGATTCATTTGTTTTCTATATCACCTTCTATGTCACAAACTTCATCAAAGATCAAAAGAAGGAATAAAACAACAAAAATCTTATGCCTCTTTTCCAAAATAAGTACCACTGCATATCTAAACACAGTCACAATTCATCTCATTCACAGCCATTTCAGACTGTGGAAGATGTGTGCTTCAAAAAAATTTATTTGCCTTATGAATAAAGATTAGCATTCTTCTCTTCATCTCCCTTGGAGAGAATAATATTCTACAGTAAATGCACATGAATGTCAACAGTGGGGATATTGCAAATAAAATTGACCAACTTCATTGGCTACATTTTCAAAGCACCACATGGAAGGGATTCACACAAATACTGTTAATAAAAAGCTTTGCAGATGTGCATCTTTATCTCTGTCCTTAAACATCATTTCTAACTTATGTGACTGAGGAAATGTAAAAGACAGAAAGAAAATTAAATAAACCAAACCAATTAGAGCTCTAAAACTTAAAAATATTCAATCATGTCCAGTTCGGCTGTGAATTTATTATAATGCCAACTCTGCCAGTTCTGTAGGAAAGTACTCAAGTCAAAAGATTGACAATGATTTTGCTCTGCTTCTTGCTAGCTATAGCAATGGGTTTATAATTAAATGAGAAAAAGACAGATAATAAAACTAGAGGTTAAATTTTAAGTATTGATATATAGCAACAACTTCAACAAGGGTCAGTGTTGCTAACTATCTGTCAGTTCTCCTTGTAATTTAACCATTATCTCTGTTTTATTCAGATGAAAAGCAGATTTAATGTAAAACCTAGTTAAAAATCAATGACATTATTGAAATGGAACAAAGTATACCCACACAAAGTGGCAGAGCATATCTTACAAAAAACCTTTCTTAAAACCCCAGGGACTTTTATATTTGTTCATATTTTTTGGCTTATCAGATCAATAATAGGTGAGAAAAATATTCCATCATTAGCAGCCTTGGATATCAAATATATCTTTGCTGGGTGCTAAATTGGCCAGAAAAAAACAAAACAAAAGACCAGCCAAATCAAACCAAATCAAACCCGCTCACAAAATGAAAAACAACAAAACAAATCCAAATCCAATCTCAAACCAAACAAATATGAGTTGAAGAGTGAATTAAACTAGTAAATAAGATTGAGATGCCTATTAAAATAAAAAATAAATTTCAAAACACAACAAAAACATGTTCCAAACCCAAAAGATTTTTCAAAGGGAAATTGCACGTAAATTATAGAAGTGGGAAACATAAGAGAAAATGATCTTGTTTTTCTGGACAATATCATCCCTCTATGTATATAGTAGATTATAGTCAAGGACTGGGGCTTTTTCATCAAAGACCAGTATATTTTGGTCCCAAGCACCTGTAGGCTATTGCTTTCTCTGTTTTCAGTGTTACACTTTCTTTCTTTCTTTTTTTTCTCCTCAAGAATAATTTATACTGCCAGTCCCAAAGAATGAAAACAGTGGAGAAAAAACAACAAACCAACAAACCAAACCCATAAAAACACCCACAAGCTTGGTTTCTTCCCATCTCATTATAACACCAAAGTTTAATAATTTCAAAATAAAATGCATTTCCCCCTCAAGACTTTTAAATAAATAATAAGAGTGGAAGTAGTAGTACTATTATAATAAATTATTGCCATATGGCTCTCCTTCCTGATCAGGAGAATAAATGAGAGAACCATGCATGATCTCTTACTATGCTCAGAGGGTCTGTAGTCATTTATGATGTTTTTAAATTATATTGTTCATGTGGAGAATGAGAGTAACTTATATTAGTTTTTTAATTAATGTTCATGTTACCTGCTGGCTATTCTTCAGTTTGACTTTCTGGAGTTAGATCAAAAAAAGTCCTCTAGCATGATTAACTTGTGATTACCGTAACAAACTGACTAGCAAAACATCCTGTGCCCATAGAAGAACAGTGAAGTGACTTTTTTGGTAATCACCAAGCTCACAGAAGTGTCAGGTATTTTTCAGTGAGGGGAGAGAGGAAGGGCAAGGGCTCATAGGGGCTGCCTGACATGACTGTCACAGGAGAGGAACCAATTTCTTCAATAGACATGGTTGCAAAGGCACTGGTCTGACTGTGTCCTTGAATGTTACTAAACCACTATCACATTTACTATTAAAATTTCATATTGCTGTTTTATATCCATAAACTTATTGCTGCTTCTGTCTTACAAGTGAAGTGTGTCATTCCATCCATGACAAAGAGACACTAAAGAAAAACATTTTATCTCCTCCAGAACACAATAGAATTTGGTTAGAAGAGCCAAATTTAACAATATATTCCAGAAGAAAACAAAACTTATGGAAGACTGAAATTAAAAAAAAATAATTGTTTTAACTTTTCTAATTTCTTTCTAACCAGGTTAATAAGCATTTTTTGTTTTGTTAAAAAAAAAATATATATATAAAGGCTTTTCTGACTTAGACTGTTCTCTAGACACAGACTTAATAAAAGCTTTTTAGTAGGGATTACAGACCAGGCAGGCGTCAGCATTGCTATGTGCTCATTACCACTTCATGTGTGCCTACCATTCCTACAGCCTTCATGAACTATCTTTTAACTGTCTAACTCAGATTATCTAAATCCATTCTTCACTTTCATAAATTGTTGAGTGATGTTACGACTTATCACTTCCAGCTTTCTCAGGTGGACTTTTTACTAAGGATCTGTTTAGCTGATCAGAGCAAAGATCTGTTGGATCTGAGTTCTCTGACTGTTTCAATTGTCTATGCCCACAAGCATTCAAATGCTGCAAAGTCCTTGCATCCAAGAATGCAAGATCACTAAGCAATGCTACATATGATTCCAGACGTGGCACATCATGTCTTTCATAAAATATTGATTTTTCTGGACACCCGAGGTAGCTGACTTACCTAGGATTTCTCATTTTCATTTTATTTACTTAGAGGACTTGTAGTTCTGGCAAGATGTATAATTTTGCCTGGTCAGTTTTATGGATTGCATTATGTGAGAGATGATTTCTTTGTTCAAGCAATTACATAATCAAATGCAACAGTCTGATTTCTCATCTGACATCATTCCATACCACACCATTGTACTGTGGCAATTTCTTCTTGCTGTTTCCTTGCGCTTGTAAGATATTTTTGGTATACCTATGATTTCTCATTTCCTCAAAGTAGAGTGGACAGCAGAAAAGACTTAAACAAAGCAAAGTTTTACTAAGATCATAAATAAAAATAAGGAAAAAACTGAGAAGAGGAAACAAGACTTTCCAACAATAAAAGGAAGTAAACAAATTTTTCATGTTAGCTACCAAAACGTTAGATTTAATACAGAAAAAGAGAGAACTGTGAAATAAAAGTTTAAAATAAAACCAGAGGAAACTGTATTGATCTGTCTGTATTTTGCCTCTTGTCTATTGCATAGCAACTGAGAGAGAATGTTTTGTTACCACAGTTGCCAGAGCTCTGGAAAACTCAAGGCAATTGAGAATATACCAGTAAAGTGCTGGTGGAAAAGTGGCTAGTTCACAGAAACCTAGTCATAGATTGATGTGTGTTGGAAAACACCTTTAAATGTCATTTAGCCTATCATCCCTGCCATGGGCCAGATAGATGATTTAGAAAAGCACTCAAGAGTTTTGTAGGAAAGACATAAAATAGCTGATATGACAAGGCCCATCCTTGAAGAGAAGCAGAAACTGTTGTAGGGTCATCAATGGTGCCTGCTGAGATTTTGGAGCTGCAGATGGACAGAGAAGATCAATACCCTCTTTGGGACAGAATGCATGCCCAGTATCTCTTCTGGTTTTTTTCTTGCTTTCCAAATCCTCTTGCCATCCATTCTCTCCTCCTGTCCTTCTTCAACCCCTCACAGCTTCCTGAATTCATTAAGCAATTTTTTCATCTCATCCTACATTCTGAAACAGAGTTTGTGGTCTTGAGCTTCAAGGAGAGATAATAATCAAGCACCTACAGAAGAAATAGAATTTATTTGGTATTCCTCCAGGAAATGTAAGAAAAATAATTTCTTCTGCAGCATGAAACTTATATCATTTCACAAATATGAACATTTCTAATTTATAAGATTGGCTGATTAGAAATAAGAGATTGAATTAAAACAAAACTTATGTATTGTATGTGTATTTTTAATCCCTCACCTGTCCTCTTAAATAAATAGGAAAATTAGTAACCTATAGCACTTTTGTAGTGCTGAGGAGTTATAATTTTCATTCTCTTTGCTAGATTGTGATTCTATTGAACTGTACACAGAATTTATATATTTTGTGTGTTTTTTTTCTTCAGCTTTATGATATACC